AGTTTGTGGTTTATTTGTTTATTTGCTTTTACTTTCTTTCTATTCTTTGTACCATTTTGGGCTAGGGCAACATGCAATAGTACTGGCTTCTGGAATTATACTGTAGTTTAGTCAGATGGTGGTGATCTCTGTACATGTTTAGTGACCCACTTTTAATGTGAAGTGTAACAATGTGTGAGTGAGTGACTGGTGGAGCAGAAAAAACACCTGACAGAAACTTCTTAAAGGAGAAAATCAGCTCTCACACAGTAAAGGGGTCCTGCTGTGAGAGCAGTTTCCTACATATTCACATATTTACATGTAGAGGATTCTGAAAAGTCTAGTAGTTAACTGATCTAGTGATTTGTAACAGTCTGTTTTGTCTTCTTTGTTTGTGAAAATGATATTTTTAAAAACAATTAGTGACACTAATATAAATGCAGGTTTTACATGTTTAGGTGTCTGTAATATGGAAATTTCTTCAAGTAAAGTAGTGTTGGGTGTTTCAGGGGATGCTGAGGCCGAGGATCTCAGAGAGCTTCCTCAAGAAACTCCAACCAGAAAACATGGAAGTCATCATCAGTTACATTACTGTTTTTATCAGCAGATGGAGTTCACCTAGCTGTCATAGAATATTTTAACTTAGTGGAGATAAAGTCTGCATCTGCTGGATTTGGTCTGTTTTCTTTTTTGTTGTTTCCAAGGTTAAGAATAATCATTTACTCTCAGTATGTTGGTGGAGTTTTGATTTGCATGTTAGAGAAAATGTGTTATTCCAAATTCTTTATATATAATATTTACAGATATAGTTATAACAAGAAGGTTACTTATTTCTTTTGCATTTTTATGCTTTAAGTTAATATTTAGCTTTTCTATAGAGGCCGTTTATATTATTTTGTGCTTTCAGGGATCTACTGGTTTTGTTTGGGCAGTCTCTGATCCTGAATGTTTCTGATGCTGATCTGTGTCTTCATATTTCGGATTAAATGTGTATTGTTGAAATTGCTTTAATCCAGTATGAGTCTGAGGTCAAAGGTCATGAACAAAACTTTTCTTATATGCTTTTCCAGGCTGGCTACTCTGGATTATTTGGCAAATCAGAAAAGACAGTGGGATTATAAAAAGATCTGAATAGATGGTAAGAAGCTGTGAAGGAGAAAGTAATTATATTTCAGATTTATATATATATATTCAGATAATATTATTTTGCTTTTTTTTTTTTTTAATTGAGCTTATTTTGCTACATGTTCATTGGTGGTTAAAGCAAAACTTGTGAAATCTTCAACCTTGTAGATGTGTGTACAGTATGTGTGTGTGTGTGTGTGTGTCCTCAGTGAAGTGTATCAGTCTCTGCAGTAGCTTCCAGCTGCAGCAGTCAGTTCAGTTTCTGTTCAGTCTGACTGAGGGAGGTTTTTGTACGACGCTTTTTCACTGTGTGAACACATCCTGACTGTTGATATAGTGAAAACTCTGACAGTAGTAAACTGCTGCATCTTCAGTCTGGACTCCACTGATGGTCAGAGTGAAGTCAGAGTTTGATCCACTGCCTGTAAAACGATCTGGAATCCCTGATGCTCGAGTGCTAGCAGCGTAAATGAGGAGTTTGGGAGTTTCTCCATCTCTCTGTTGGTACCAGGCTAAATAGTGGTAGTTGCTCCAAACATAAACATCCTGACTGGTCCTACATTTGATGGAGACGGAGCCTCCCAGAGCAGAGCTCACTGCTCCAGGCTGAGTCACTGTGACCTGGCCTCTGGACTCTGAGGATACAGAGACAAAAACATAAAGCAGCGTCATGGTTTTGTGGGCTTCATTTCAGAGGGACGGATGTTCATAGAGGAGAGGAGTTTGATTCTCTGGACTTTACCTGTGAAGCAGCAGCAGAGGAGAGTCCAGATGAGGACTGCCACAAAGCTTTTCTAACATGTGATCAAAGTTTAGGAAACAAAACTATTGGTTAGGTAAAAAAAAAAATCAGTAACGTAGCTACGTAACACTTGTGTAATTTGATTTCCAGCAAGATAATTATTTGACACAGAACTTGTTCTGAAACTGATACTGTGATATTTTTAATCCACTTGATAAAATTGTGCATTTGCTGTGTGTGTGTGTGTGTGTGTGTCCTCAGTGAAGTGTATCAGTCTCTGCAGTAGCTTCCAGCTGCAGCAGTCAGTTCAGTTTCTGTTCAGTCTGACTGAGGGAGGTTTTTGTACGACGCTTTTTCACTGTGTGAACAACCACTGACTGTTGATGTTATGGAGACTCTGACAGTAGTAAACTGCTGCATCTTCAGTCTGGACTCCACTGATGACTAAAACGATCTGGAATCCCTGATGCTCGAGTGCTAGCATAGTAAATGAGGAGTTTAGGAGTTTCTCCTTCTCTCTGTTGGTACCAGGCTAAAAAGTGGTAGCTATTATAATGAACATTCTGACTGATCGTACATTTGATGGAGACGGAGCCTCCCAGAGCAGAGCTCACTGCTCCAGACTGAGTCACTGTGACCTGGCCTCTGGACTCTGAGGATACAGAGACAAAAACATAAAGCAGCGTCATGGTTTTGTGGGCTTCATTTCAGAGGGACGGATGTTCATAGAGGAGAGGAGTTTGATTCTCTGGACTTTACCTGTGAAGCAGCAGCAGAGGAGAGTCCAGATGAGGACGCAGATCAAAGTCATGTTTTTGATGAGGAGGATTTCTGTGGCTTCTGTTGTCATGAAGGACAGCTGTCAGTCATCCAGTGTTCAACTCTCAGGACTATAAAGTCTCCCAGAGCACTGGAGCATGGTGCTGCTGATGCAAAGTGGCTCTCTATGGAAATGCTCTGACTGACTCCAGCAGGAACTTGGATTACTCTGATGATGCTTTTTATCAATGGATCAATCACTGAGATCAGAGTACTGATTGGAACTATTAATTCTCTTTTTTTCTATGGATTTGGCCACAGATAAAAGTTATTTCAGAATGTCCTCTGTTGTATAAATTTCACTAAATTCATTAACAACGGAATTAACATCAGTGTTGCACTGAAATTTCAACACTAGGATTTTTGTTTATTTCGTTAAGGTGTCATTTTTTCATTAATATGTATCTCTGATCATTTCTGTTTTGTCATTTTACATGATGTAATTTAAAGTTTATTTCCTAAACATTTCTGTTTTGCTTCATTTTACTATGAGTCAGAATATTTGTAGACATTTAACAATTCAGTAAGGGTGAAATTTATACTTTTTAAATGGTGTAGTTTTTTACTGTTTGACTTTTTATTTCATAACTGTCAATGTTTAGTTGAATTTGTTTGTGTCAAAGTCAGAGAGCCCTGTCTCTCTACAGTGAGAGGTTTTTGTACGGCGGCTCAATGAGTTTGTATCACTGTGGAGGACTTTTGGTGGAGGAACCAGACTGGAGGTTAACTGTAAGTACATTTGAGTCCTTTAATTATGCTAATTCAGTATTTATTCTGTTTAACTTTATAACACTAGGAATTATTGCAATATTTTAGCTGATTATTAGATTATAATAGTAGTGAATTCTTGAATGTGTCCCATCCTGTCCAGACTGAAATCTTCTTCAGTGAAAAGTAACATGCAATAATGGGATGAGGTTGCATACAGAGGGAGAGAAAGTAGAGGAGAGAGGAGCTCAGTGCATCATGGGAAATCCCCTGGCAGTCTAGGCCTATAGCAGCATAACTAAGGGATGGTTCAGGAGTCACCTGAGCCAGCCCTAACTATAAGCTTTATCAAAGAGGAAAGTCTTATGCCTACTCTTAAATGTGGAGATCCGAGGTGTCTCTCTCCCTCTCTCTCTCTCGCTCTCTCTCCTTCACCCCAACCGGTCGAGGCAGATGGCCGCCCACCCTGAGCCATGGTTCTGCTCGAGGTTTCTGCCTCTGTCGCCTAGTGCTTGCTCTTGTTGGGAACTGTTGGGCTTCTGTAAATTGCATCATAGAGTACGGTCTAGACCTGCTCTTTTATGAAAAGCGCTGTGAGATAACTGTTGTTGTGATTTGGCGCTATATAAATAAAACTGAATTGAATAGATATATGTGTAGTTTGCTCATTGAACATGAATACATCAGAGGAACAAATTGTCATTTTTAACTTTTTATCTTTAGTACTGAAACCTGTCTGTTGTCATGGTTCAGCAGTGAAGCCTGTCTGTTACCATGGTTACTGAGCTCGGAGAGGGAAGAGAAACTTATTTTTGACACGTCTCAACATCTGGCAATCTTCAACTACTATTATTGATCAGTAAAGCACAGACAAAAACAATCATCCAAATTCAGTTTCTCAAAAAGGTCTCTCTCTCTCTCTCTCTCTCTCTTTCTCTCTCCCCCCATCTTTTTGCAGTGGGCCGAGTCGTCCCCACCCTGACGGTGCTGCCCCCCTCCAGTGAGGAGCTGCAGCAGGGGAAGGCCACGCTCATGTGCCTGGCCAACAAGGGCTTCCCCTCAGACTGGAGTCTGGCCTGGAAGGTGGACGGCAGCAGCAGCAGCAGCAGCAGCTGGGAGGAGAGCAGGAGCCCCGGGGTGCTGGAGAAGGACGGGCGCTACAGCTGGAGCAGCACCCTGAGGCTCCCTGCAGACCAGTGGAGGAAGGTGGGCTCTGTGACCTGTGAGGCCACCCAGGGCTCCCAGGCTCCGCTCTCAGAGACACTGAGGAGAGACCAGTGTTCCCAGTCCTGACCTGACTCACTGGGACTCTGCTACTGGTTTTACTCTGCTCTCTGAACTCTGTAACTCTCTCTGTGTCTGTGTCTCTTTCTTTCCTTAAGTCACTCTCTAATCACATGTTTCATGGTTAAAGTTTGTTTACTGGATTTAATTTGGATTATTTCAACACAATAAAGACCAGTTCATTCAAATCTGTTGTTTTCATTTCTGTTATAGTGACTGTACTCTGTTACTCATATCAGATCATATTAACAATATTCAACTTTAAGTAGTGAAGATTCATTGATGCAATAATGCTCATGCTGTTAACACTGTAAGACAATAAAAAAAGTTATTTCAAATTAAATAATATGTCATGATAGTTTTATTTTTTACCAACAAAGATGCATTTTCCTTCATTTTATCAGTGCAGGATTATATCTGAGGTAATTTCTTCTTCTCCTTGAGTCTCACCTTACAAAGTCTCTGTTCAGCAGAGACACTGTAAAGTTTCTCTTTATAGCTGCATTAAGAGAACTTTCTAAATGCAGGTATAAACAAGGTGTGAATGAAAGAATGAAAGCAGGTGTTTTCATGAATTCATTTAAAATGTAGTTTGTACAAATCTACATTACTCAATACAGTTTCAAGGATTAAAAATGAAATTTAAAGTACTTTCAACATGAGATGGTTCTTATCTCAGATTTTCAAACCAAAGATTTTATGTCAGTGTTGCATATACCACACAGTGACACATTGGTCTATTCTGATGGAGCATGCAGGGTGAAACAGTAAACACAAATATCAAATTTCCATCACATACTCCTCCCTTGTGAGCATTCTTTGGTCACTCAAGAATATACAGCATTACAAAAAGATCATCAGGTCATAGAAAGGCATCATGATGTAATCTACACCAGTTTAACCAAGAAAACGAATCTGGGTCCTTCCTTTCATCACAGTCCTGCTGCTGCAACAATGGCATGTTCACTTGTTCATGGAGTGTGATCATTTGAATAGACACACATTTATCAATAGCTCTTACAGTCAAACCTCTGGCACATGGAATAATGCAACATCCACAGAGAGGTAACAGCGCTACAGCAATCATTAGGCCTGCTAGTATGGGCATCACTAAGGCTTTTTATTTAGCAAATACAGAATCAGACCAGTCAAACATATTAGTGTCCACTTCAGAGTTCTCTGCAAGTTCTTCTCGTAGCGAACGCATTCCTTCCAGCACTGGGGTCACCGAACCATCTGGAGCTGTATTGTTGGGCACAAACGTACAAGAGGAGTTATTAAAATTATCCAAGCATCCCAGCCTCTTTGGGTGCTTCTCTTGCCTCTAACACTGCTATGTGATGTCAATGCCTGTGTGTAGTTCACTGTGGTGTTCTGTTGTGGTGGCTTTTGTGCATCATGCTTGTGATCTAAGAACTGCAACAGAGGCACTGTTAATGCTATTGCAATGGCAGCAAACATCTGTGTTGTTCCTCGTAGGCCCACACATGTCTGGGTGTCTGACTGGGTCCCATGGATGTCTCCTTCCAGAGACAAACATGCTACTCACTCTTAAATCAGCAGTGGTGAGACCAGGAGTTTTCCCACTAACTCCCTTGTGTTGATGTTTGCTGTCTAACAGCCTGTGAGTCTGAGACAAAGGGTTCCTAAGCGTTCCCAATCCCTCCTTCACTCACAACACAAGGTCAGGGAAAACAGTGGTTCAGTTGCTGATTGTGCACGCTTGTTGATCTGTTACTGTTCTGGTGCAGGCACCTTCCTGCAGTGGCTGGTATGTATCCATGTAGCTCTTTCAGCCTCCACAACCACCACAAAACCTCCTGGCGGGAGACTGCATCGGCTTTGTTGCTGGAGAGGGAAAAACTTCTATCCATTTTGGAAACATATCAACTATCATCAACAGTACTTTTTTGCCTTTGCTTGGGTTTAGCTAAAACCCTCCCTCATAAGGTGGTTAAACGGTTCATCTGGTGGTGGATGTGCTGCTAATGAAACCTGTAATCCCCTCCCTGTGTTGTGTCTTAGGCAGATTGAGCATGTTTGACAAAAGTTGTGAGGGTGTGTTGTGAAACCTTTCATGAACCAGTTGCAGTTTCCTAAACTCTTTGTGGTTATGATTCATCACCAATGTAGGCTATTCAAGCTCATCAGCATTTACTCATAAATTAATATAGTATTACTTTGTTTTTTTTACCTTCAATGTGCTTAAGATTTTATTTTTCTGTGAGAAATTGTGACTCACCCAGTGTGTGTGTGTGTGTCCCAGTTGTTTCCTGTCACTAGCGTCCGTCCCGCCCCCCTCCTTATGATGAGAAGCAAAACACAGAATATATCAAATTAACAAAATATGAAAGTGATTTCACATTTTACAAATCAACATGGAGGTGCATTGAATTTAAATAAAAATACTCACCTAAAACAAAGGAAAACTTACAAAATGACATTTCTTATTATTGTAACCTCTCAGAGTGTTTCAGTAAAATGTAACTTTACAACTTTTAACTGCATGAGTTTCATTCTAATTAAAGTACATTTACATACATTACATTACAGTGTGGTTATGTTTTTGAAATATCTAGTGTTATGGTTTCTGTGCATCTGGTGATTCAGATCAGTTCCTCTCCAGCTGAGAGAGGTTTTTGTACGACGTTGTATCACTGTATGAACGGCCAGCTGTAACAGTGCTGACAATAATAATCTCCTACATCTTCAGTCTGGACTCCTCTGATGGTCAGAGTGAAGTCAGTTCCAGACTGACTCCCACTGAAACGGTCTGAAACTCCAGACTGACGGTTTGTAGCATGATAAATCAAGAGTTTAGGAGCTTCTCCAGGTTTCTGAAGGTACCACTGCAAGTCATTGCTAACACTTGAACTGGCTTTACATCTGAGAGAGACAGTCTGTCCTGGAACAACAGACTGAGATCCAGGAGACTGAGTCAGGATGATTTCTCCTGATGAATCTGGAAAACATGAAAAAGAGGAGAAGGGTTATTGAGACAAATCCAGTTTGGAGAAAGATGATCAACATCCAAACAGTCTCATTTCTTTAACATGGAGAACAGATGGAAGAAGGTAAATGCTGCTTGTTTCAGTGTTTCTCCATCACAGCAGAACATCATTGTGGTGAACCTGGTTGCATCCTGAAGCAAAGTTTTCAGAAGAGAGTCTCACCCTGAACAAGGAGCCCCAGGGTGGCCAGCAGTAGAATCAGTGACATCATCATTGTGCTGCCGGCGTGTCAGTGGCTCTGAAAGGCCTGGACAGCCACTGATCAACACTGGCCTCTTAACGTCTGGGAGCAGAGAGGCAGGACACATATGCAAACACACAGAGTCAGTGAGCTGTAGCTGTCCTCAACATATCATGGTGTTTCCCCCTCAGTGCTGAGAGCGTTGATCTACATATTTACATATTTACATGTATAGGATACTGAAAACCTGTCATTTTCACTATCCTCTACTTGTAATATGGTAATATGCACTGCGAAAACTAAAATCTTAGTAAGATTAATTATCTTAATTGAAGGCAAAATATACTTGTTTTTTGTCTGACAAGATATTTCTTCTTATCAGACGAGAATTTCACTTGTTTCAAGTTTCTTTGGCCTTAAGTAGTAAATAATTTTGCTTATTTTAAGTAATGTTTCCACCATTTAAATGCTTTTTTTCTTTTTTTTGATAGCTCAGTTTTTGCAGTGTAGTGTTTTAGACAATGATTAGTGACATTAATATCAATGTTGGTTCTACATCTTTAGGTGTCTGTAATATGGAAATTTCTTCAAGTAAAGTAGTGTTGGGTGGTTGAAAGGATGCTGAGGAAAACGATCTCAACGACGAGAAACGTCTCGGGTTACGTATGTAACCCTGGTTCCCCGAGAAGGGTAACGAGAGACTGCGTCGGTTACGACACTATGGGAACGCCTCTAGGCGAAGTAGGTCTGAACGTGAATGAAATCACTCCAATCCTATTGGCTTGTTGCTAGAACGGTAAGGTGTGACGGAATAACCGGAGGAGTATAAAGCACACCTGTACACACTCATCATTAGCTTAAACTATGAAGCAGGCGCTTCAGGCGGCGAGAGAGGTGCGGCGGGCCGACGCAGTCTCTCGTTCCCCTTCTCGGGGAACCAGGGTTACATACGTAACCCGAGACATTCCCCTTCGAGGGAACTCGAACTGCGTCGGTTACGACACTATGGGAACGAGATACCCACTAAACCGTGCCGAAAACCCCGCCTGCCCCTGTGTGCAATAAAGTGGCACGACTAAGAGGAGAGCGCACGAGTGCCAGGTGCCGAAGGAAGGTCAAGACTGTAAAACCGAATGAATGTGTGCGGAGTGGCCCAGCCAGCCGCTAAACAACGTCCTGCAAGAGGCCCCGGAAAGGAGGGCTCGAGAGGCCGCCTTGCCTCTGGTAGAATGAGCCCTCACAGCCACAGGTGAAGGCAAACCGCGCACCTGATAGGCCAGGGAAATAGTCTGAACAATCCAGTTGCTAATAGTATGTTTGGATGCAGGGAGCCCGGCCCTGGGAGACCCAAAACACAGTAGCAGCTGGTCAGCCTTCCTCCAACGGGAGGACCTCAGAGTGTAAATACTCAGTGCTCTGACAGGGCAGAGCAGATGAAGTCTCCCGTCCTCCGCCGTCACATGAGGTGGAGGATGAAATGCCTGCAGCACTGTGGACCCTGCCGCGCAAGAAGGCACTTTAGGGATGTATCCTGAACGAGGGTGCAGGATAGCCCTAATATTCCCCGGGGCAAACTCCAGGCTTTGCGGGGAAAGAAAGCGCTTGGAGATCCCCCACCCTCCTCAGAGAGGTGATAGCAAGGAGAAAGGCCATCTTGAGGGTCAAGTGCTTAGCCTCAGCTGACTCCAGGGGTTTGAAGGGGGCCTCAGCCACCGCCCCAAGAACCACTGCCAGATCCCAAGTGGGAACCTTGGACCGAGTCGCAGGTCTCATCCTCCGGGCACCACGGAGGAAACGTACAACCAAGGGAAGTTTCCCCAAGGACCCCTCCCTCAGAGGGGTGTGGAAAATAGCTGCCACGTACACCTTGAGGGTGGAAGGGGAAAGACCAGCAGAGAACCGGTCCTGGAGGAACTCAAGTACCTGAACCACTGGGCAGGTAACAGGGTCCACCGACCGCTCCCTACACCAAGTGGAGAAAACACTCCACTTCAGGCCGTACATCCTCCGTGTGGACGGGGCCCTGGAGCTAGGTGGGTCTCGACTGCTCCGGCTGTTAGACCCGCCTCTAGGTACTGTGCCCCCTCAGGGGCCAGACCCACAGTCGCCATATGGCGGGGCAAGGGTGAAGAACCCGGCCCTGCGCCTGGGACAGCAGGTCTCTCCTCAGAGGGACCCGCCACGGCGGGCCGTCCAGGAGCGACATGATGTCCGAGAACCACACCCGGGTTGGCCAGAACGGGGCTACGAGCAGTAGGCCGACATTGTCCTGGCGGATCCGCTCCAGAACCCCGGGAGCAGAGCGACTGGGGGAAAAGCGTACAGACGTAGCCTCGGCCACGAATGTATCATGGCGTCCAGACCCAACGGGGCTGGAGGAACGAGAGAAACCATAGCGGGCAGTGCGTAGTCTCTTGAGACGCAAACAACTCTTTGCACAAGAGCTCCACCACTTCGGGGTGAAGTCTCCATTCCCCGGGCCTCAGCCCCTGCCTCGACAGCAGGTCTGCTCCCTGATTCTGCGTCCCGGGGAGATACATCGCCCTGAGCGATAGTAACCTCTGCTGGGACCACAGGAGGATCTGACGCGCCAGTCTGTCCAGAGGGCGCGAGCGCAGACCGCCCTGGTGAATCAGATAGGCCACCACCACTGTGTTGTTCTCCTCGGAACGAACCAGGACGTGGTGGCCTTGGAGATCGGGCAGGAAACTCCTTAGAGCCTGGAACACCGCCAACATCTCGAGACAGTTGATATGCCACTCGGATCGATGCACCTGCCAGGATCCCCTTGCAAAGCGGCCGTCCATGACCGCGCCCCAGCCCGTGAGGGAGGCGTCTGTCGAAATAACCAGCCGGCGACAAGACCCTCCCAGCATGGGCCCCTGGGACAGGAACCAAGTTTCCTTCCAAACTGATAGGGAACGAAGACACTTGCGCGTAACCCAAATCAGACGGAGAGGATTTCCCCTCGGGGAAAAACTCTTGTTCCTTAGCCACCACTGCAGGGGTCTCATGTGCAGCAGTCCAGATGGTATTACGCTGGACGCAGCCGCCAGGAGACCCAACAATCGTTGAAAGTGTTTCATAGTGATGGCGTGGCCTAACTTCACCCCTTTCATGGCAGCCAATATGGTGTCGACACGTGCCGGAGACAATTGTGCCCGCATCGTTGTCGAATCCCATGCAACCCCTAGGAACGTAGCCCGTTGGGTGGGTGCCAGCACGCTCTTCTTTGCGTTGAGCCTCAGCCCTAAACGCCGCAGACGAGCCAGAACGACATCTCGATGCCGAACCGCCAACTCATGAGCCAGTCGTCGATGAAGTTGAAATCCGGATGCCCCGGAGCCTCAGCGGGGCCAGTGCTGCATCCATACACTTGGTGAATGTGCAAGGGGAAAGTGCCAGGCCGAATGGAAGAACCCGATACTGGTAAGCCACACCCCCGAAGGCAAACCTCAGGAACTTCCTGTGAGAAGGACGGATGGAGACCTGGAAATAGGCGTCCTTTAGATCTATCGTGACGAACCAATCCTCAGATTGTATGTGCGTCACGGTGGCGGGGATGATGAGCATCTTTAACCTGAATCTCCTCAGAGACCGGTTAGAACCCGCAGATCCAAAATAGGGCACGCAGCCCTCTGTCCTTCTTGGGGACTATGAAGTACCGGCTGTAGAACCGGCGTCTCTGTCTGGGGGGGAGACACGTTCCACGGCCCCTTTCCTCAGCAGAGTACGAACTTCCTGTCCCAACACCGGACCTTGCTCCGGGCGGACCACAGTCCAAACAACCCCCCTCTCTTCTGTTGAATTTGGAGGGCGGGTTTTGAACTGTAGTCGATACCCATCTATGGCAGTGCGCAGGACCCACGGAGAAATGTTCGTCAGGCTCCGCCAAGCCTCTGCAAAGTCTGCCAACGGAACCAGCCCCTCGGGGCTGGTGGTCGGTGTCTCGTGTGATCTTCTGGTGGACCCCTGAAGCCCCAGAACGGCAGGGGAGAGCCGCCGAAGATCCACGGTGAGTGAGTCGGGATGCCGTCCGCCTGCAGACCCTCGGGGCAGGCAGTACGGCGCGGACTCGATGGTGGCAGGTGCGTCCTGAACGTGTAAACGGCGGGATAACATCACCTGTTGCCACGGCGGAGGGGACCTCGGTCGGCCTCCGGGGGGGTGGGGGGGGTGCGGGAGGGGAGAAAGACTCCCCTACCCCGGTCTTCCCTGAGCTCAGTCGGGACTGGATGACGGTCCTCAGATCGCGTCTCTCAGACGGCTGAGGGTGAGAGCGCCGTCTCGCTGCCCCAGCTCCTCGGGGGGGGCCCCGAGAAGCGACACTCTGCTTCCTCTCCTCTCCGTAGGAGCTCGTAGAGGGAAGGGACCTACGCCTGGCAGCCTCAGCTGCCTTGGGTCCAGACCGGCGAGGGAGGTACTGGCGGAACGCTTCGCACTGCGTCTAACGCTTCGTGGTTCTGCGAAGCTCCGCCAGATCTTCCTCGGAGGGACCCCCCCTCTGAACCATCTCCTGTAGCAGGTTGGCTTGGTAGGCTTGAAGCACCGTGGTGTGCAAGCTCGCACCTGCCTGGCCCGCTGCCATGTACGCCTTCCCCACAAGCGTGGATGTGGTGCGACATGGTTTGGATGGTAACGCCGGCTTCTCCAGGGAGGACGCAAGTCGAGGGGAGAGATAGCTCGCAAGCTCATCCTCCACCCGAGGCATCCTCCCATAACCACGGTCCCTAACCCCCATCACATTACTGTAGTTCAGTGATCGGGGTGTGGAAAGCCATGTAGAGAAGGGTCTGCCCCATGATTTACTCAGTTCATCATGTAAATCAGGAAAGAATGGCAGAGACCGGCGTGGAGGTGGCGTGTGGTGCTTAAGAAACCTTTCATCAAGCTACCACTAGCCTGTGGTGTCTGCTCCTCCTGTGGCCAGTTGATGTTGAGCTTAGCCACGGCTCTAGTCACCACCTCCAGCAGCACGTCATAGTCGGGCGTCGCTAGATGACGCCGCCCCGACACCCGGAAGTCATCGTCCACTG